TTATATCAACTCCTACTTACTCTTTCAACATTAATGGAGCAGTAAGAGAATTCATTTCTTCCTATAGAAGGTTGAGGCAGGGAGATCATATATCCCCTTACCTCTTTCTCCTGGTTTCAGAGGTTTTATCCATGCTGGTTAATTTTGCTGCTGAGAGAGGGATGTATAGAAGATTGAAAATTTCAAGAGCAGACCCTGCTATCTCACACCTCTTTATTGCAGATGATTCTTTGTTTTTCTGTAAGGCTGATTCCTATCAAGATGTTCTTATCACAAGTCTGTTGGAGAAATACAATTTATTTTTCGGCCAGAAGGTGAATATGAGTAAGTCAAATGTTTTCTTCAGTAGGAAAAATCCAGAGCAACTGAAAGCAAACATTTGTGAAACCCTTTAAGAAATAGTGACTCACCATTCAACAAGAGATCTAGGATTGCCACTGGTATTTGGGAGATGCAAGAAGAAGGCATTTGGTTATATACTAGAAGCTGTGAAAAAAATAATTAACAGTTGAAAAAAACAAGTTCCTCAACTCAGCTGGAAAAGAGGTACTTATTACAGCAATGCTAAATCCTTTGCAGTGTTCGCAATGTCTTTGCCGATCAGACTTTGCAAAGAAATAAAAAGTTTGTGTGCTCAGTTCTGGTGGAGCAAAGGGGATGAACAAAATAGGAGAATTTACTGGAGAGCCTGTAACAATTTTGAATGCGATATTTATTTGGCATAAGTTCATAAATAAATATATTGAAGATATGTTTCTACAAGGATAAGGAATCTATAAAAGAGAAGTTCTTTTATTTATATTTGTTTATATTATATACATATATGAGATTGCATGATCTTATTATGGTATTATGTTGTAGGAAACCGATGTGCATGGCGGTTGAAGAGGTAAACGCGTATGTACATTAAGGAGATCTAAAGGAAATCAAGGAAGATTCAAAGAAGATTTACTTTCCAAGTTTCAATCCTATTTTAGGCAAGAAGATCACGGAGATCACAGAATAAGGAAGGAATTTGGAGAAAACTCCATGCATAAGGGAGTTGTATATATACCCTACTTGAAGATTGAATTAAGGCTGCTGACATTCTCATAATCCTCGCAATATTCAATCTTCAAGTCTTTCTTTTGTTTTTAGTTCACGATTCAGTTTTCGGTGTTCTTACATATCGAAGAACTGAAGTCGTTTTGTTTTCTTTTTGATTTGTTTTATTCAGACATCTTCGTGTTTAACACTTAGGGATTAAGTGTTCGTTAGAAAGTCCACAGTACGTGGACGGAGAAGTAATTGATAGAATCGTGTTGTGGCTAGGCTATATAAGAGTTCGAGTCGTGTAAGTTCAAACTATACAAGTGTGCACAAATGGTTTATCAATAAGAATACCTGAAGAGTTTTTTTACATCTTTGGTTTATTGTTTCCGCTATTTTAGTTGTTTATTTGTGTTCTATCCTCGTTGAGCGCACTCTCGTGAAATACATATGTTTCAAATTTAAAAATACCTAAAGTTTCAGGGAAACTTGTGTTTCAGGATATTTGCTTATTTAATGAAGCTCTAATTTGCAAGCAGCTTTGGAGAATTAATATTTTGCCAGCTCTTCTGGTAAGTAAAATTCTGAAAGGCATATGCTTTCCTAATTGCTCTTTCTGAAATCATTCTAGAACAAGAAGATGTAAAAAGTAGATGACACGGCGCAATATATAGATAGGAAATAGACGGGATCCAGAGATCAAATACAACAGTGGAGGTACTATATATCTAATATGGAATACAAAATACATGAGGTGAGGTTGGTGATGAAGAACACTAGGCACCCACACAAAACAAGCCAACTAACTTGTTCAAAAGAAGAAGACTTAACTCGGCTCACTACTTCACTTGCGAGGGACTGTAAAATTGATCCACAAGCTCCACTTCCGGCAACGGTTGGAACTTGGAATTAAACCTCACCAGGGCTCTAAATGCCCTGGAAGGTGAAAGAGAGGTTCTATTGGAGAAGCAGACCAAACTGGAGGGCAAATATCAGGAGTTTGTCGCGTTTTTTGTACAGTGCAGCACCATTTGCGTTTTGATGATGGCGGGTGGGCTTTTCATAGGCTACTATCTCCACAGCAAGGTTCATGGCTATATCATCACTGCCCTAGCCATGAACCTTGTTGTGGAGATAGTAGCCTATGAAGAGCCCACCCGCCATCATCAAAACTCAAACGGTGTTGCACTGTACGAAAAACGCGACAAACTCCTGGTATTTGCCCATAAGCTTGGTCTGCTTCTCCAATAGAAGCTCTCTTTCACCTTCCAGGGCATTTAGAGCCCTGGTGAGGTGAATTCCACCCGTTGCCGGAAGTGGAGCCTGTTGAGCCTGTGGCTGAATCCCAGATGAAGAGCCCTGAATCTCCGAGGATGGGATATCAATGTTATGCAACATATTTTTTGTTTTGGCTTTTTCTGTTTTAATTTAAAGAGAAGAGATGTGTAGAAGATGCAAGATATCGATAAGAATAGCCTAGGTAGGTTGGTATTTATACTAATATATACCACAACATCAGTCACAAGGGCTCACAAATTAGACATACCTACTCAAACCCTATATAACGTAGGCTGGAATTTGACAAGGGTTTCCTTAGGCTGCTATTCCTTATTTAAGACCTGTTTAACGCCGAACAAATTTTTTTTAAAAAAAAAAAAAAAAAAAAAAAAAAACTTAGGCTATTTTAGTAAAGGTTTTATTGAATAAAAAATATTAACTTTATTAATATGTAGTCTTTCACTTATATATCATCATACTTGTTTTTTAATAACTTTTTATTCTACAATGTGTATTCTATTAATATAAAAAACAATTTAATTTTCACTATAACTAATTTGAATTCGACAAATGAACCTTAATTTATCTTATAGAGAAATTAGTAAAATTAACATATATTTTTTAGAAATTATACTAAAAAAACTAACTTAAGAAATATATTTGTTACACCATGTGAGTCATGATATCTATTAATATATAATAAGAATTAACTTAATTCAAATTTAGTAACTATTTTCCGCCAAATTCATTAATTATTGTCTAAATATAGCTAGCATTAATTGCAATACATAATATGGAAGAAATCATAAAAATATTTCATACAAAAATAATATAAAGACAATTAATGTAAATTGAAGGCTAAATAGAAATTACCATATATAAAAAATATGGTAATTATATAATATAGAGACGACAATTAATATTATATAAAATATAGACATGGCAATTAATATTATATAAAAATAATATAGAGACGGAAATTAATATAATATATAATATTTATAATGATTATTAATAATTATTATAGTTTGTAATATTATAATTAATATTAATTCACATGAAGAATATTAGTTATGAATCTATGTAACAAAATAATATGATATAAATTTTTATTTATATGATATTAGCCCAATATATATAGTTATAAATCTTTATCATTTAATGTTAATAATCATTCATGCGTGTACAATAATGTCTTTATTTATTCGGGTTATATCATTAATGAAAAAAAAAATTGGACTATTTATAAATTTTTTTGTTAGCATTTTTATTCGTATTTTAATAGTTTATATATAGGTATTTATCTCGATAATCATATGTTTTGGAATATCATTTGTTCATACCAAATCATTAATTTATAAACCATTATTAATTGAATAAATATTCTTGATTTTTTTAACACCAACGCATTAATTTTGTTCACGCTAATGCATCATGGAATAAATATTCGGACCCCTTTTTGTTCACGCCAATGCATTATGGAATAAATATTCTGGATCATTATTTATGGAATAAATATTGGGACTCCTTTTTAACGTGAATGCATTAATTTCGGTCAATACAAATGTGCTAAAAAAAATTGTATAAAAGGATATTCACTACCACCATTATTTCTTCACGTCATTCACAGAGTTCAGAGAAAAAAAAAACAAAATACAGAGATAAATTTCAGAACACATCGATAATATAATGCCTCCAGTTTGGGATACACTCGATTCCGTGAGTAGGACAAACAAACCTTATTTGCTTTTGAGAGCAGTCCGAATAATTGAAACGCATCACGAACGGGAGAGCTGGAACGCATTCCATATACTGTTTCATGATGAACAGGTACATATTTTCATTTGTAATATCAAATTTATATAATTTGAAAAATTATTTTAATTAATATTTATAAATTTATTTTGTAGGGCGCACTTATTAAAGTCATAATATGTTGTATATATGGAGATTTTTTATAACTTTTTACCAATGACGATTTTATGTTTACTTTATGAATGTCGTACGTATTATAATAACTTATTAATTAATGACCTTTTAATTTTTTCTAAATATTTACTAACCCGTGCATCGCACGGGTTACATACTAGTATATAGAAGAACGGTTCAAATAAGAACAAGCCTTAGTTTAAAAAAATGCGAGAATGTTATTTTTAATCATGTACAATGCTAGTTTAATTTTCGTTGTTTTCTGTTTTTTAACAAAAATATTTTAAAAACATCAAATATATAATATAATATTGCCTATGTATATGATAGACACAATATGACATACACTATCTACATATTTAATACAATTTTCAAAAAATTAACAAATATACGACATTCAAAAGCTCTGATTTGATTCTCTAGGTGGTCTATTCTGACAAGGATTTTCAATTCTTGGATACAAATCTACATGGTGAAACTTTTTTTAGTTGAGATATTAGGTACTCTAGGACTTTTGATTAAAAAAGGATTATGATTCTATTTCCCTATTAACAAGTGCAACGAGATAGGATTAATTACTATAAATTAATGATAACTGTCAAAATGAGCTAAGAGAAGCATTAAACTCATGAAAAGCAAAAGAGACATCATACTGAAAATGGATTTTCTTCATCAATAATTGTGTTGCATGCTTGCTTGTTTTCAGCCACGTATATATATAGCTATCTTCCAACCTATCTAGGTTAAAACAAAATTGTCTATCCTTATCTAAAAGGGAAAAAGCCAACTGGTACAATAGAGGTAAAACGACTCTCCCTCTTCCTCACAGCTGCATGCTTGCTTGTTTTCATGCACACGTCATGAGGTGATCTAATGGCTGCAAGCTTTCCACTTATCTGATTATGATCTGAGGGCTGAGATGATGGCATATTACATGGAGCTTGTGACTTTTCTTTATTCGTGCCATCATCATCTTGATCAAGGGTCAAGATTGAAGCTGAAGTGTGAAGTTGATTTCCAACAATAACATATGTTATTTCGGTTTTTTATTATTTTAAATTATTATATTTCTTTAAAAAAAGTGATGCGATTAATAAATGTGATACTTCATAGATTAGATTGATGAGGAGTGAAGTTTTTTATGCAACACTACTATATACCGTAATATAATGAATACAATAATAAATATTTTATTTTTATGTTTATTATTGATTTTTATTTTATAATACTATCCTAATCAAATATTTCATAAATTTATCTGATCAAACCGAAAAGTACTCCGACCATTTCTGGTTCAATACTTTTTTTAGTTGGCGGTTCCAAAACCAAAATCGTAAAAAAAAATTGAAAAAATAAAAAAATTGAGTTTAAATTCAAATTTGATGGTTTAGATCAATTGAAATAGGTGTTTATCGATTCTTAATTGGTCGAACCCTCCAGCATGGATCAAAAGAGTGAAAGCATTCGTGTAATTACGAATATTTTTAAATATATCAACGTTTCAAGTTTGGTCAAACGTTCCAGCACTGGTCAAAAGAATTGTAACATTCCTGTAATTATGAGTATTTTTAATATTTCACACGAGAATTTTCTTCATTACGCAAAATACGCAAAAATACTAGTGTCCATTTTCACAGACACTAACGTACATTCTGTACAAGTGATGGACCAAAGCTTTCTCAGAGACGCGTTTTTCTCTGTTTCCTTCTTCATAATCTTTGCTACGGACATCTCAAAGTCCTCCTGAGTTACGTGGACCCTCCTTTCTCTCAGAGCAAACATACCTGCTTCAGTGCAAACAGCCTGCAAAACCAAAACAAACTTCAGCATTTACTTTTTTTTTTTATTAATCATTAAATGTCCTTTATTTCATGTTCTCGAGGGAGCAATGCCTAATTTGATATTCTGGAAGAAGGTCCATAAATTCATTTCCAATGTGTAGTTGTAGTACGAAATTTCTAGTTACTGCATGGCGGTGGATATGATGTTACCTCAAAAAATATAAGTAACTGGGGACGAGATACTTGTACGTGAAAAGAGACATGCATCGAAGAGATGTACATAATGCCCACAAAATAATTGAGATCTTATATAGAGTTAGATTAGATACTAAACATCAAACTTGATACTTACAACTACATACCTGAATTTATAGGAAAATTTTGAAGGTTTTACTAACAAGGAGACCTCAACTTAACCTTCCTAGAGGACAAGTTGGCAGCAATAATCAATTCATGCTGCACAAACTAAATTTCAAGATATTTAAAACTTTCCGATGTATGCATAATTACTTGGTAATAAAGCCAGAATGCACAAACATTCATGGCCTACAATATTGTACAAACTTCCATGTCATTTGTTAATGAAGGAAGACGCCTTCCAGAAAACCGATCAAATACTTAACTTGGTTGAGGTAAATAAAAAAAAATATAGCATTAGTTGTACCTTCAATTCAGCACCAGATGCACCACTCATCTTCTCAGTAATCTTCTTGAAATCAATCCCTCTCATTAAATTAATTTTCCTCGAGTGGATCTTCAATATGCCAAACCGAGACTGTAATTCGTTTTCAAACAACTAATGTTAGAAAGTCAAATGTGATGCCATTGTCGAAGGGCAAATAAAGGTGAATAAAAGATGAAAATCCTCAGGTTTTCTAACTTGTTCAAGGATTTGTATCAATAATGCTATTACTGACATATTGAGCACCACACCAATGGAATATAAAGCATAAGAATAAAAAAGAACCATAAAAATGTATCTCTGATCACAAATAGCTCACATCTTCATTAGGATTTGGGAACTCGATTTTCCTATCAATTCTTCCAGGCCTTAGAAGAGCTTGGTCCAGAATCTCAATTCTATTGGTAGTCATCAATACCTGTGTAGAACAAGGGTACCAAACAATAATTACCATTTCCGGTTACCAAATCTGAACTTAAAACCACTAGATTCTTAAGCACCCGTTATTTTCTAGAATGAAATAAATAAGTAGGAAGGAGAAAAAGGAAATGGAAAGATAAACATAAATGGCAAGAAATTAGATGTAATATCAATAAAAAAAATTCGACATACTTTTAACTTATTAGATGCCTCAAATCCATCCAGTTGGTTGAGAAGTTCCAGCATAGTTCTCTGAACTTCACTGTCCCCATTTCCACTCCCAGATTCCATACGAGCAGATCCAATGCTATCAGTTTCATCCATGAAGATGATAGATGGGGCATGTTCTCTGTCAAAATGAGATCGTCACCAAATGCAGTCTATCGGAATATTTCCAGTGAATAATATCTAAACGACTCATGAATGGATAAACTAACCTGGCCATCACAAAAAGTTCTCTCACCATCCGAGAGCCTTCTCCAATGTACTTCTGAACTAATTCAGAGCCCGAAACTCGGATAAATGTGCAGTCAGTGTGGTGGGCTACCGCCCTTGCAAGCAGAGGTGCCGGGAGGACCATACAGCAACACTCCCTAAAGCAATTGAAAGGTATAAAGTATAAACAATTGGAAATGCTTTTAACAGTTCATGGAATAAATGTTTATTCTTTCCTTATTGCACACATTACCTTAGGTTGAGCAATACCAAGACTCTCGAACAATTCAGGATGTTTGATTGGAAGTTCAATCACCTGTAATACAGGAGAGCAAGGAAATGAAGATCACAAATTTTATGAGGATAATAATAAAGATCCAGAATCCATACGTGATGATAGATTCAAAAAGATACATATCAAACTAAGATCATAAGACACGTTTGATTTCCTTCAGAATTAGAATAAAGTCCTACAAATTTCTTGCAAAGGTTCTGATAAACAATGGAGGAGAGGAAGATATGGGACTGAATTGAAGCAAAATCTATCTTATAAGCTCCTATGACAGTGAAATTACATATCCTCAGTAGCAAGAAGAGAATTCAGAATAAATAAATCGTATTATTTTAATGTCCTGGTGCCACTTATCCACCACAACCATCGTTCTTAAGCATTCAATTCTACCTAATGAACACATTGCCTTACCAAAAAAAAAAAATACAAATGTCGATCCAGTTTTAATCCTCTAAGACCATTAACCAGCTGAAATTACATAAATCAAAGACACTGACAAGACAAAACTTTGAATTCTGAATAAACTTACATTGGAATTATCTGTGCCGCAAAAGCACAAAGAAAAATGGGGGAATGCTTTGAACAATTTCCCACAAACAACACATAATGGTGAGCGATCCATTGCAAATTAGCAAGGAACTAAGATAACAAGAAACAGAAAATCCCAGGATACACACCTCTTTTATCTTTTTAATTTTCTGGTCTAGACCACCAATCATGTCATAAGTGGAATCCGGAACTTTTTCTTCTTAAGATTCACCGGCGGATCAACTTTACTAGGTAGGATCAAGTGGAGCACATAGCTATCATTACGTAAAGCAACCCTTGTTGAAGATGTCTATGCTCGTATCAATGTCAACTACATACTTCCCCTCAGGATGGACCTAAACAAAGATAGCACAAAAATTCAATATTAGAAAATAATAGGTAGACAAAAGCTTCTTTTACTAATATTGTTAAGTTGAGACAACGTGAAGATCATTGTTCGACAGAACACATAAAGATCTGACAAAGGAAACAAAAGTACAAACTGAATAATTGCTTTCAGAAAATTTATACTCTTTTTTCCTCACACCCACCTATTCGTTGTAAGAGGTTGGACCAGAATTAAACTTACTTTGTATCTTATAACTGTTATGCCAGGTAAAGAACATGCACAGACATCACACCTTTGAAGAAGTCGAAATATAGAAATAAAAGCAACCAATTCGTACGAAAAAGTCATTCCTGAGAAGCTCCATTGAATAATACCACTCTAAATTCAATCCTCCTTAACAAACAGTTAATAAACCCCAATTCTTGAAATATGAAGACTCGGGAAAATAATAATCACAAAACTCTTCTCCAAATTTTCAATTTGTATTTTCCAGTCAGATAAAATGATAAAAGATCCCTCTTTTGGAAAAATAAGAGACAAAATAAGAACCAAAGACAGTCCAAATTAAAATCTTGAATAAACACTAGCATCAATCTGCACCCATTCGTAAATATTTGATTGCTACATATAACATCAGAACTGATAAAAGCAGGAAGAAAGAGAGTAATAAACTATATAAATTATAATGAACACTCGTACGAAAGGATTGTGCTGTTGCAGAAGATATGAAACTAACCTTAACAAGGACCTTAGATTTTCCCATGACTTTGACAACTTCTCCCGCATATGATCCAGGCTCCTGAAGAAGCTGCAACTCTTCCTTCACTGATCTCACTGTCATTAGGAACAAATTGTTTTAGTTGGAGATATATTCCCCATACCACGTCCTAAACAAATCTATAATGCATAAAATCTGCTTTATACCAAACTTTTTTGTATCCATCTTTAACAAGCCAATTTCTACCAATCCCACCTCAACAACAACCACATTAGGATAAGAATGTGGAGAGCCACGAAAAAAACATCATGCTTGGATGAACATAAATAGTGAAATCTAGTCATGGCACATATATACCTACAATGGAGCTTCAAACTTCCAGTCTAAGGCTACTATGAGGTCCAAATCTTCATGAGTAAAACTTGTTTTCAAATTTTGTTATTGTTGAACATAAACCAGAGACAGTCCAAATAAAATAAGCCATATAACAACCCTAGTGTGGAAGAATAGGAAAAATTCTCCAAATCAACATCCAATGAAACAAGAAAACTAAATCATTTTCAAAAGCAAAAAGAGGATCAACTAGCCAATGTAGGACAAAAATACTATTCAAGATAAAATTATTGCCATACACCCATATTTTCTTAAGTTTCACCATCAAAAGGAATATCTTGCCAACACTCAAAATCTAATTTCTATTCAGCCAAACACCCAAAACATACAAGAAAATCATTACATAAACTACATAACAAGAAGAAGAAGAAAAAAAGCTGAAAAACTATTCCCCACGCCCTAGGGTTTCAGAAACGGCAACAAGTAGAGTTCACGTCCACAATTGAATCCACAGGGAGATGACAACATTAAAACATACCTCCGGCATTTACGTCATTGCGTTGAGCTTCTAATCGTTGCTGATCGTCTGACGGACTAGTATAGGAAAAAATTCAAAACTAGTCCCACAAGTATAGGGAAGGGAGGTGATATTTTTGGTCCCGATGGAATGCAAAAAATTCAGAACTAGTGCCACAACTTGTAAGAAAATATGAACACGTCGGATGCCAGCGTGTAAAAAAATAAGCCATGTGTGCGCCATGTGGCGTTCCGGGCCAGAAATAGTAAATCCGGCGAAAAAGTCCTACTATTGATCATTTTGTAAAAGCTGTGGGACTATTCATATTTTCTGCATTCCGCCGGGACCAAAATTGTCACCCCCTATACCTGTGGGACTAGTTTTGAAACTTTCCCATGTATGCACTATTAAAAGAATCGCGTTTGGAAACTTTACCTTTTTTTTTTGTATAATGTTGTCATGTATCTTTATATTTTGGGAAACATAAACTTGTAGTTTACAAAGCGTAACAATAGAAATTTATTAACAAATTTATTGGAATTACTTGTGATTTTTAAACGTAAATAAAACGTCCAAATATATGTTCATAAAAGTATATATTAACAAAAAACAAAAGAACATGGTTGCTATGTTCAGAGTTTATTTGTGGATTATTATTAATTGTTATGGTCCATATCATTATATTTATCCACTTGATTTAATATGTTGAACAAAAAACAAAAGAACACGGTTCCAAAACAGGGACAGCTTAGCAAAAAAGAATATATATATATATATATAAGAACATAAAATAAAAGGAAAAGAAAGTATAGAACTAGCTTATTAATACTAAATACTACTTATTCAAGCTTGTCTCATGATATGTGCATTATTGTCTGTTAATAGTTTATATATCAAGATTCTTTTATCTGAATAGAGACTTTTAAGTAGAATTGCTATAAATCTAATAAAATAACATCTGTAATAGACAAATTGAACATTCATTCCATGAAAACAAAGAAAATACAGAGTAGAGTGGCTCTAACTGATGAAGAAAACAAATCAACCAAAAGCGAGGCACCTAACAGCAATACGAGGTGAGGTTGGTGATGAAGAAAAGGAAACAACAAAAAGCCTAGGCATCTAAATAAGCCAACCAACTTGTTCAAAAATAGAAGACTTAACTCTCACTACTTCTCTTGCCGGGTACAGAGAAGTTGATTCAGCAACCAAGAGACACCGCAAACAGCAGCCACGCTATCACGACCCACCAGAAGAGGTCCCACCCGAATCGGGTGGACCACTTGAGGGTGGACACCAATTTAGCAGCCCTTTCCATCGGCTTCCGTCTCCTCCCCGTTGGCATAATCACCAATGTCAAAATCGGCAATGACGTCGACAGCAGCAATCCGAGCTTCATTGGCAATTGTCTTCGCATGGCCGGCTTCTTGCCGTAGCTCAGAGGCCTTCGCCCGAGCAGCGGCGTCCGTTTTAGCATCCTCGACAGCTTTTTAGCAGCCTCTTCCGCAGTCATCTCGGCCTCAGCATCAACAGTGGTGGGGATGGCTTCCACAGCTCCAGTGATGGTGGGGGCGTCTGGCTGTGGCACAACATTAGCTTCAGCAGCAAGAGCACGAGTGTCGACTGTAGCAGAAGCGTCTAATCGTGGTGATAGCCTTCTGGATAAGAGCAGCTTCGAACAAAGGTCTCGCAGCATGGCCCCTAATTTGTTGGTGGGTGGGGTTTCCGTTCAGATAACCATTTACCAAGTCATGGCACCAATCTGCAGCCTGCCGGAGATTATGTGTCTCCTTACCTACTATGTAGGCACTCTAATCTATATGAGCCACAAGCCTCTTGGTTGTCAAGACCACCATGGCCAAGAGCAAAGTGTATGTGATGTTGATCAATGCAGTGGTTATATAGCCATGAACTTTGTTGTGGAGATAGTAGCCTATGAATACGCCACCCGCCATCATCATGACACAAACAGAGTTGCACTGCACGAAGAAGGACACAAACTCCTGGTATTTAGCAAGGAGCTTGGTCTGCTTCTCCAATAGAAGCTCTCTTTCAGCTTCCAATGCGCCTTGTTAATGTGACTTCCGACCTTTGCCTCTTGCTCATTGGCAGGATATGGCGGCTGTTAGTGAGGCGGCTGCTGCTGGTGAGGCGGCGGACCACAAGTGGAGGGGCCTGCTGGTGAGACGTAGAACCTGAAGAACCATGAATCTCAGATGAAGATGGCATATCGATGTTATGCGACATATTTTTTGTTTTTGCTATCTTTTTTATTTAATTTAAAGAGAAGATTCAACTTTCAAGTTATATCGATAAAGAATGAATAGGTCGGCTGGTATATAAAGGCCTACCTAGTATAACCTTAGGCTGCTATTTGACAAGAGTGGTTCAAATAAGAATAAGCCTTAGTTTATAAAATTAATCATGTACACTACTGCTAGTTTAATTGTCGTTATTTTATTTTTTTTTTTTACAAAAACAAAATATTTTAAAAACATCATATATATATATATATATATATATATATATATATGTATATATAATACTGCCTACCTATGTATATGATAAACACCATATGACATGAGCTATTTATATATTTAATACAATTTTTAAAAAATTACCAAATATACAATATTCAAAAGTTGTAATTCGATTCTTTAGTAGGTGGTCTATTTTGACAAAGATTTTTAGTTCTTGGAACGGTATTATCCTGTTGAGATCGTTTTAGTCTCATGTTTGGGAGTTAGTAGTTTTTTTAGTTTTTGTTTGTGTTGTTGTGAGTATGTTCGTCTAGTATTGCTAGGTCAGTTCGGATATGCCCTTTTAGTCTTTTCAACAGTTGGTTGTACCTTTAAGCTATTGGTTGTTTTCTCTTCGCACTTTGTGCGGTTTTTAGTTATATAATATCTCTACCGTTTCGGACGCAATGAAGAAAATGCTCGTGTGAAATATTAAAAATACTCATAATTATTGGAACATTTGACCAAACTTGAAACGTTGATATGTTTTAAAAATATTCACAATTACAGGAAAGCTACCGGTCTTTTGACCCATGCTGGAGGATTCGACCAATTAAGAATTGATAAACATCAGTTCAATTGATCTAAATTATCAAATTTGAATTTAAACTTCATTTTTTATTTTACGATTTTGGTTTTCAACCGCGCGCCAACTAAAAAAAGTATTGAACCAAATTGCCGGAGTACTTTTCGGTTTGATCAGATAAATTTATGAAATATTTAATGATGATATATTATGAAAATCAATGATAAACATAAAAATAAAATATTTATTTATTGTATTCATTCTATTCTGGTATATTGTGTTGCAAAAAAAAACATTCACTCCTCATCAATCTGATCTATGAAGTATCATATATATTAATCGAATCACTTTTTATTTTAAAGAAAAATAATAATTTGAAATAATTAAAAAAAAACTGAAATAATATACGTTAACAATAATTTATAGTAATTAATCCTGCCTCGTAGCACTTGTTAATAGTGGAATGAAATTATAATCCTTTTTTAATCAAAAAAGTTTCACCGATGTAGATTTGTATCCAAGAACTAGAAATCCTTGTCAAAATAGACACCTACTAGAGAATCAAATCACAGCTTTTGAATATTGTATATTTGGTAATTTTTTAAAAATTGTATTAAATATATAAATAGCTCATGTCATATGGTGTCTTTCATATACATAGGTAGGCAGTATTATATATATATGATGTTTTTAAAATATTTTTTTTTTGTTAAAAAAATAGAAAATAACAAAAATTAAACTAGCAGTATTGTACATGATTAATTTTTTTAAACTAAGGCTTACTCTTATATGAACCACTCTTGTCAAATAGCAGCTTAAGGTTTTACTAGGTAGGCCTATATATACCAGCCGACCTATTCATTCTTTATTGATATATCTTGAAAGTTGAATCTTCTCTTTAAATTAAAATAAAAATGAAAGCAAAAACAAAAAATGTGTCGCCTAACATCGATATGCCATCTTCAACTGAAATTCATGGCTCTTCAGGTTCTACGTCTCGCCAGATCCACCTGTGGGTTCTCCGCCGCCTCACCAGCAGCCGCCAGATCCGGCCAATGAGCAAGAGGCAAAGGTCGGAAGTCACATTACCAAGACTTTAAATGCCTTGGAAGCTGAAAGAGAGCTTCTATTGGAGAAGCAGACCAAGCTCGTTGCTAAATACCATGAGTTTGTGTTCTCCTTCTTCGTGCAGTGCAGCTCTGATTGTGTCATGATGATGGCGGGTGGCGTATTCATAGGCTACTATCTTCACAGCAAAGTTCATGGCTATATAACCACTGCATTGGTCAGCATCACATACACTTTGCTCTTGGCCATGGTGATCTTGACAATCAAGAGGCTTGTGGCTCACATAGGTTGGAGTGCCTACACAGTAGGTAAGGAGACACATAATCTCCGACAGACAGCAGACTGGTGCCCAATGGTAATCTGAACGGAAACTCCACCCAGCAACAAGTTAGGGGCCCTGCTGCGAGGCCTTTGTTCGAAGCTGCTCTTATCCAGAAGGCTATCACCACGACAGACGCTGCTGCGACAGCCGAGGCCTGTGCTCTTGCTGTTGAAGCTGATGTTGTGCCACAACCAGACGCCCCCGCCACCACTGGAGCTGTGGAAGCCATCCCCACCACCGCTGATGCTGAGGCCAATATGACTGCGG